GTCTCTGTTCATATTTATAACTTTTCAAACTTATGCAATCCTACTGGATCTTCACTGTACCTTTTCCATGGCTTTATTCTTAAAATAGTCCCAGAAGTGCATGCAATACTCCAACTTTAGTGTAATCAATTGTGTAATTGTTTCATTGCTTTTACGTTCAGCATCACCAGGCAGGAAGAATTGTATTTGTTTTTGTTCTTATTAGCATTTCCCAACTTTGATTTTTAAATTCAAGTACCTGCACCACTCCATCTCTTTCCTTGTACTTTGAGATATATTGCCTTTCACTTCTGTTTTTAGAATATTAGTTTATATTTATCTACATTCAGTTATTTCTGTAGACTTTGCTGGCCTGGACCTAGTCTAGTTTACAAGGGCCATTTGTATAATAAAATCCAGACTTTGACTTCATTTCTGAGCTTCCATATTCAGATCTGGATCGATAGACTCACATTTTATAATTTAGTTTAATAGTTAAACACCAGTTATGGAGTTAAAGTCAGAGAGACGTACAGCATGGAAACAGACCCTTCAGTCCAACTTGTCCACGCCGCCAGATGTCCTAAATAAATCTAGTCCCATTTGCCAACATTTGGCCCATATTCCTCTAAATCCTTTATTCATATACACATCCAGATGCCTTTTAAATGATGTAATTGTACCAGCATTCACCACCACCTCTAGCAGTTCATTCCATACACGCATTACCCTCTGTGTGAAAAAGTTGCCCCTAAGGTCCCTTTTAAATCTTTCCCCTCTCACCCAAAACCTATGCCCTCTAGTTTTGGGCTCCCCCACCCCAGGGAAAAGACCTTGACTGTTCACCGTATCCATGCTCCTCATGATTTTATAAACCTCTATAACGTCACCCCTCAGCCTCCACTGCTCCAAGGAAAATAGCCCTAGCCTATTCAGCCTCTCCCTAAAGCTCAAACCCTCCAACCCGGGCGACATCCTTGTAAGCCTTTTCTGAACCCTTTCAAGTTTCACAATATCCTTCCTATAATAGGGAGACCAGAACTGCATACAGTACTTTCAGAAGTTATTACTTAATTCTCTAATGTAAGTTTAAAATGGATTTATTAATCAAGGATATTGAGTGCAGATTTGTTAAAAACAAGCATCTTGACAACTTAGTAGATTTTGAGCAAATGATTAGACTTTTTAAAAGAAATGCTGCAATTATAGTGCATTCAGACCTTTTGGAAGGTGTTAAGCTGCTTGAAGAGTTTTAGGAAAATTTCAGTTCCCCTCGTATTTTGGAGGGTTGGTTGACAAATGGAACACAACTGATAACAGCAACATGAATTTGGGGGTCTGGGCAACCGCATGTAAAATTGTTGAAAACTTCAAGAAACTGAGGAAGTGTTGAATGGAAGGTGGGGAAAGTGCATGTTCATGTTGATGAATAGGAGGACAGGAGGAGCAAATAAATGGCAATATATGCTTGATGAGAAGGCACCCCTATGGTAAATGAACCAATAGACCCAAGGATTGAGGTAGGAAATGAATTGAGAAGTTAGGAGCATCAAAACCTTAAGGCATCTAGAACAAAATACTGGAATGAAGTTATAAATTTGAGTAGTCATTGACGAGGCCATATTGTGGAACTTTATTGATGGATTGTAAAAATAATATTTAAGCTACAAAGATTGACCATGATGTTGTGTTTGTTGCAACTATAAGTAAGAGGTGTAAATCCCTGCGATCATTTCTAATGGAGCAGAAATCCATCGAATGATTGCAATAAAATAAATAGAAAAAGCTAAGTAAAGATAAGTACATCCTAGTTCTGGATCTCTCTTCAGATATGATCATTTTCCTATTAGCCAAGGACCACCTGACTTGAAACTTCACTGCTATCATCGCTGGGTCAACTTGCCGGAACACTCTTAATAACAGTACTACAGATGCCCTACACCCCATTAACTTTGGTTCAAGAAGGCAGCTCACTGCCACATTCTTCAGACAGTTAGGGTTGGGCAATAAAAATGCTGGTCTAGCCTGTGTCCCACAAATGATCCAGAACACACACTGAAGCAGAATTTTGTGATTTGTTTTTTTTTTCCCCAAATTGATTGGTGTTCTTCTATACTTTGCCTCTCCCAGGCTATTTCTTTTTGGATGGAATAGGTTTATACGTTATAATGCACAACATTTAAAAGCATGCTAAAGGCTATATGGACCATTAGGCTTCTTTCTGGCTGTCATTGTCTGTCTATGTGCCTTTCAAACGAATGAGAAAAGAGGCTAGGAGGAACTTCCACACACACAAGCGCTTTGAGTGTAGAATACTTTTAAACGTCAGAGGAATAGGATTCGGCTATTTGGCCCCTGGAGCTTGTTCCACCATTTAAGTTTTTGTGGCTACTCCATCTGCCCTGCCTTACGTCCTACATGATTTGTTGACAAACAAGAGTGTATCAGTCTACAATTTAAAATAAATGAAGCTAACATCTGATTCTTACTGGAGAACGTGCCATGCTTTTACCACATTTTGCATGTTGTGTTTCCTGTCTTTCCTCCAGAATTTTCTACACTTGCTCATTAAGGTGAAAACTAAAATCCTGCTACCCTATCAATTCCTTTCAAAATTGTAAAACCCTTATTTGAATCTTCCCTTGCCTTTCTCTGGCAATACAAGCCTACTTTACATAGTCTCCACTCATAATCGAACCCTTAAAAGATAGATCAGATCCATCTTCTTAACGCTGAGTTAACACTACCAGAAACTACAGACCAGTCTTGTACTGCTCGTCACGTCTTAATGCAGCAACATTGTCTTACATAAAGACACTGTGCTTTTTTTAAAGCGTACAGTGATTGTGTAAAG